TACGCATAAGATAAAGGTCGACTCTATAACTGCTTCGTTGGGACACGGCTGAAGAGGACCCTACTTGGTCCTAGAACGGCCTGAGGTAGAGGGGTTTTAGTCGGTAGGTCCGAGGACTTCTTCCTCGGGAATCCGACACTACCCAGTCGTACGGACGGCTGGGTGTCTTTTGAAGATTTCCCCTCTTCCACGAAAACATAAAAAAAAAATCAAGGTCGACTCTATAACTGCTTCGTTGGGATTATTTCTTTAAACAAGAGTCTCTAAATTTCCTAAATTCCTGAGAATGTTGAACTAAAGTCCGATGCCGATAGCATGCTCAAATTCTGCTGCTGTATCTCTTTCTGTTACACATTAATTGGAGTAATATTATTCCTTTTTCTTTATTAGTGTCCGCTAGAATTCCTAGCTGACATCTTTTTTCTATGTTTACGATATTCCCCATAACGTCCGCCATGAGTAGAAGTAGGTGTTCTATCAGCAATCGCTCTAGTCTAGTTAATATGTTGAAGGAAGACAGTTTTATTGCGGACTATGGCAATTTTGAACGTTTCAACTATAAAACGCTAACTTTTAGCACTATAAAAAGTCTTCTTGCAAGCTCCAAAAAATGGTACACTCTAACGAGGCGTTTAACGCGGCACATCTCTTTTGTCAGCGATATACTTAGTTTACATGATTTACATAATAATAGCACTATCTCCTTGGTGTACGCATTACTATCAAATAGAACAAAAAAAACCGACATCAAGGAACTTCAAACAAGATCTTTGCCACTATACACACACAGATTTTGTAATAGTTCTTGTGATTACAAAAGGATTCCGGCAAACCTTACACCGTGGTGGTTGTCCTTTTCATTTCGCCTAGTGTGTCTGAAGGAAAGTTGAAATTTCCTAAAAATTTTGATAAAAAGTATTTATAATGTATTTGCGTCGGAGGGAAGTATTTGATTAAAGTCTCGGAAATGCCTATTTAATTTAAGTTAGCAAATAGTATTTAGTAACCCAAAATTTATTTCGTTAATTGTTCGATAAACATTTCTAAAAAGGATGAAAGTAAATTTTTGATAGTCAACCTACCTAGACCGAAACTACGTATGTATGTCACTTACAATGTCCTAAATGATACAAACCTACGTATCTACAAACTAGTGATGCAACGGAAATGTCATAACAGAAATAGAAGCGGAAACAAGAAAACCGTAAATTTTTGCGGAAGCGACAACGGACGCAGATGTGTACTGATTTTAGATAACTCTTTAAAACAGCGATCGTGCGCCGTTTTTGCGAATATTTTATTACAGATTTTGCATTTGGCACTTGCGTAGTTAATATCAACAAAATATTTACTAAAAGGACTTCTTTTTGGTGTGCAATAGTTTTCGCCAATGCGCGTCGAAACTCAAAGGCACTAAGAGGATCAACGATCCAGGCTCTCTCAAAGCTTAGAGCAGGCTGATCATAAAAGCTTTGTGAAGCTAAGAGTCTCCTCCACCTAACTCAACCTGTTCGTATGAGCGAAAGGAAATAGCATTACATCTTACACGTATATTAACTTTGAACCGCGAGGACCGGGTTCAATAGCACACCAGGACAAAATTTATCGGTCGGGAAGATAATGACGAGCTACCGGAGTATATTTATCTAGTAAAAACTCCTAGATTCGGTGACATTTTCGGATGTTTACTCCCATTGTTGGAATTATTAATTATTAAATATAAATTAATTAGAATTTTGTTATTATTTATGTATTTAGTTTGGATATGAATTGACATGCTAACACACACAGTTGACACCCTGGCGCAAGTTGGTATGTGACCATCAGTCAGCGCAATCTGTCCAGTGATACATAACTATACCTTTCTAGAAAAAACTGATTTGCAGAATCGTGAACGAATACATCAAAGTCTACATTTTGTAAGGTCATCACTTTCTATGAACATCAGCGACAAACTGCTTAATCTTTCTTAAAATATTAAACTTCTTATTTTCATTTTTTGCCAATTTTACAGAAATTTCTCGTTGAATACCGCCGAATTTTCGCAGAAAGCTGGGACAGGATAGGGTTATTATGAGTAACACACTTTCACTAGAGAGAAATAGGTACTTGACCTTATTTTCGGTTGACCATGTAATTTCCTCTAATTGATCTCGAAAACATTGCACTTAATAAGATTAGAGAAGGTTATTACAATTTTATTGTCGTCTAATTAAACTAACATATACATATGCAAAACCCGCGGAACTTTTGGTTCAGAATATAATTAATCATGTTCCTTTCATTATTATACCTGCAGTTATGAGATCTCAACTGATAATATGGACTAAAATGTAAATACTTGTATATGCGCACATATGCTGTATGCTCGCAAACGGTTAATTTAGAAATTTGAAAAAGATTGTTAAGTGTTATATGTATGTTTGGAGCGCGGCGCTGTACGGGTGCGAAACATGCACGGTGAGTGCGGCGGAAAAGAAAAGGTTAGAAGCTTTCAAAATGTGGCGTTACAGGCAAATGATGAGGATACCGTGAATCGAGATGGCTAGAAATGAAAAGGTATTAGAAAGAATAGGAGAACAGGGGACTCTATGGAAGTCAATAAGAAATAGGCGACGTAGGTTAGTAGGACACCTTCTCAAACATGAAGGTCCAGTCAGAGACATATTAGAGGCAGAAACAGGAGTTAAGATGAATAGAGGTAGACCTAAATTAGATTACAAATAGTTAAGGATGTGGGTTGTTCTAGTATTAGAATGTGAAGATCAGTTCAGGATAGAGGGAAAAAGTAGAGGTGCTTGTCGAACCAGTCTTAAGACTGACGACCTTATGATGATGATATAATAAAGTATATCACGTATCGATCAAGAATTTCGTTAGCTCCTAACATAAACATATAATTAAACGATTTGTTTTAAATTCAAGGCAAGACTGTTGTACACCCAAAGAAGGAAACAACTTTTATCGATGGAATAGGTGAAAAAATTGTGATCAGGTATCGGAAATTCATTCCATGAATTTTAATTGAACATGGTACTGGTATTAAAATGCAGTTATTAAAGTCCATGGAGTGTGAGAATTTTAACCGTTCGCTTAACACAAGAGAATTTGATTTTAATTTATATAAATAGTAGATTTTGATCAGCGATCGTGGTAATAATTTCAATTTGTGAACAAAAAGTTTTAGAGTAGTGAATATGAAGTTTTCACCATGGCGAACACAGCATCGCGATAAATTGCTCTGAGCTAAGTGCCCTTATCATCAAGGGTTAACACCCCTTCAAATGTTTTAAATTGCAAATTGGGGTCCAAAGGTATATGTATGGATTTTCATATCACTTCATATTTTTCAAATGATGATACCGCCCTCTACTATAATTTCCTTTATGTTCGATTTTCAACTGGCCTGTACCGTATACTGCAGACAACGGACAAAATAAGAAAATAAATATTACGTTACGCATAGAAGTAAGGAATGGCTTAAGATGGGACCAACTGGAAAATGTACAAAAATCAGAAAATGAAATTAAAATTGTTGAAGCAGGATAGTCGTTGTTTAACTTATCCTAACTTATGCTGTACGCCAACTTAATATTGCACAGCTAGTTGGTGATTTTTCCTTTAATAAATTTTACACTTTTTTTTTACTAATTTTATTATTAAAGGAACATCCCAAGGGTATAAAACTAAAACTATTCAACACCTTGGATGGATAATTGTATACGATTGTGTAAAATTAGATATTTTGGAATATATGTAAAGACACCCAGCCGTTCGTACCGAGTCGTACGGACGGCTGGGTGTNGAACAATTTAAGATAGATAGCGATAGAATTAGAAACTAGTATGCGAAACTTTACAGCAAATAACTACATTTCAGATAAATGTGATAAGTACAATGAAAAAGGTTATGAGTGGAAAATACGACCCTAATATGATTTAACGATGACAGTCAGGTAAACATTGAATAGGTTGCTATTGTATTGTAAATTCCAAGAGAAGATTCAAATTGTAATATGCACTATAATGTAAATTAAGATGCAAAGAATATACAGTTAAACCCAAAAGTAATCGAATAAGATTAAAAATTATCAGACCATCTATCTACTTAAATCTGTAATTAAATAAAAACCATAATCATAACAAAAAACAAACGTTTCGGCGAATAGCGACGGAACAAAAATAATAATTGAAATAAATGTAAAATCACAGAATATTCAGAAGATGTGCACCCGAATGTAGAAACTGTTAGAATTAATTATGGAAAAGGTATTTATTCTATTATTTTGAGTCTTTTCTCGAAAATTTGACTCAGTCGTGAAAAGTTGTAAGCAGTAACGCTAATGGTGGAAGAAAATGGTCAATAAGATGTAGAGTTAAAAATCCTTTTAAAAATACTACTATAAGTCTGAACAAATAAACAGTTCGTAAATGATCATAAAAGTGTATGAATAACAAGACTAAAAACAACGCATAAACTCGACAAAAGCAAATATATTCGACCCTGACTGGTAAAGTAAATGTGCAAGACCAAGATCACCATGGTCTTTGTCTTTATCTCAGTTTTATTCGCCACTAGTTTAGTTTGTTTCACCAATACATCTTTTAAAGTGTTTATAACTACTCAAATCCTTATGTAGATATACTTTAAACATTTTTTATTATATTAAAAGCAAGAGAAATGATATTATTAGAGATAACTGACGATGAATCATATGAAAATTTCGAAAAATAATAGAATCAACCTTTCTTTCAAAGTTGGGAGAGAGTGATTTTGACATTTTGTTTTAATCAATTACTTAAATTAATTAAAATATTATCCGTGATGTGCAGAGTATTGAAAAGATTATTAATATTTCTTTTGTGATTAGTCGTAGTTAGTAGCTTATATCTTAAAGAGAAATATAGCCCGTCGAACAATAAAAAGTTATGTAGTTTCTAAAATTTACTTCGAATAAGCAGCAACAAACAGACTCATAAAGATTTCCTCTTTACACCTACCTTATACAGGATGTTTCAGAAATAAGCAGTAACCTTGCAGGAAATAGTAGAGCACTGTAAAATAAGAAAATTAAGTTAATGTTTGCTGGTCCAAATGTTCATCGTTTTGGAAAAAAAAAACGTAACTAAAAGCACAGGCAAATCTAATTCCGAACCTGAAGAGAAATACGACAATGCAACGCCGCATTCAATCAGCTAGTGAAACATACTGACACGAATTAGCAGCATCAGTGTTATATTTTTTTGTATTTTTTGCCCATTGTTTGTTATGTGTTAGATTAGATTAAGTGTGAGTAAAGATGTTTATTTTGTAGTCAAATGCGGTATTATTTAACGCACTAGCCTTGATGTATTTAGTCAATCGATGGTATTGGCAGTGTCACTGCAACGATCAAATTGTACAGTAATTGCAAGGTACACCCTACAAAAGTGTTGAAGCCCGAACCATATCAATGCTAAGAAGATGAAATCCTTGATCTTCATGGAAGAGAATCTCAAAGAAGTAGATGCTAAATAGCACGCAATGTTGGCTTCTCTCATATGAATATGACAGTGTGACAAACGTTACAGGAGCACTTGCTGCATCCTTATCATTTAGAGAAAATGGAAGCCGTGCAGATAACTGATTTTCAGCAGGAACAAATGTGTTTCACGAAATAATGATAGTCAATACTGGTGTGACTGCTTGACTTCTTTGCGTGACTCAAAAATAATTTTGGCAGACATCTCGAAACCTGTTTTCTAGTACGGGGTTCAAATTTCAAACAATACTTTTTCCTTAAAAACTTCAATATCTAAGGAGTCAGATGATTCAGGTTCGGTGGAGTGGTAGAGGTATAAAAGGATAACGCTGGTTTGAATCGTCTTTAAAAGCAAAATTAAAGTACTTCTATAATCGCCAACGGTTAATTAGGAAATTCGATAAATATTGTTAAAGATGCATATTTGCAACAAAGTGGATAGTAGGCGTGGCAGTTAAAACAAAATTACAAACATCTGAGATATATTTGAGTTATTGGGATCCGTCAAATGGGAGGAGCCTAAAAACATGGCGCCGATTAGGGAAAATTTATCGTAGTTCCTATAGTGTACCGTGCAATTTCCAAGTTTTTAAATTACGATAAAATGATAAGTATTGACACAATATGTTATTGGGCTGACACAAAGCCTCGGAAAGGAAATGTCGTTGAAGGTGAGCGTGTTTTTAATGCCAATCACATTATAAAATTCGGAAATAACAAATCCGGAAGCTAGCCTTCAAATTCCGTCAAGTTTACTGCCTACTTTTTACAAACTTCGGATTTAAAAAGTGATTCACGTTATATAATTGGTGAGGTGATTCTGGGTGATTTAAGCAATATCATCATAATCATTAACGTGTTTTATTATTTTAATAAACAATTTTACAATTTGCGTGCACAGTTCCTATGTATTTTTCCAGCATTCGAGTTATAAATTTTGCCACCAGATGGTGTATGCCCATTTGACGGATCCCAATAGACGGATGATAAAAATATCATGGATACGTAGAGATGGTTAAGCTTACAGGAGTAAAGGTATTCTAAGATTTGAGTAGGCACTGTTCACAAACAGTTGGAGATGTAATATGAGATACTTCACGTAATTTTAAGGAAATGCGGAGATTGTTTAAGGATAGGAAGGAGTGGAAGGATGTATCGAACTAATCTTAGGGCTGATGATGATGATGACGATGACGATGGCGATGGTGATGGACGATGCCGATAACGATGACGATTGACGATGACGACGTTGTTACAAAGAAGCAGGATCTACCTTTAACTCCTGTTTGTGCTTTTAACATATCTCTAATAGCCCTTCATGCCTCCAAAGTATCCCACCAACCTATCTCTCCTATTCCTTATTGACTTCTATAGCGTTTATTTGTTAATAGAATAAACATTAGAGGAGCACTTACTAGTTAGAAAAAATAATAAAATTGATATATCTTATTTATAATTTCAGTTTAAAAAAGGAATAATAATTTTTGCATTGTCGCAATGCAACCTGCCAATATGAAATTACCATTTAATGCTTTGTCAAGTAATAGCGAAAACTTTAATCCAAATTCTTTCAACTAAATAGCAGCGAAACTTTGTTACATATATGATCGATCTGTACGTGTATGAGTTAAACGAAAAGTAATTTCTTTACATCTAAAGTTCATAAATATGGATACGTTATGTATAATGGTCGGTCGGTGTCTTTTACCATGAACACGAACGTTTAATAGGTCGTAGCCGAGATGTGTGTGGTAGGCGTCTAAAGAACAATTATGTAATAGAAACAATATTGACTTGTGACATAACAAGAATTCATGTTAAGGTGTGCATTGCGCGTAAAAGTTTGCGAAATAGCACCAGGCGTATGCCTCTTACTTCCTGACATTACTTCAGCTTCCTTTTTTATTATCGTATAAGAAATAGTAACATATGTGTATTATTACGTATCTACGTGCATGAATAATAAAGTTGCCGTAAATATATACTGTTAGTCCTCGTACTTACGGCAAATTCGATCCTTTATGTAAAATCTGATAAGTACTAAATATGAACGAAATCAATCAAGAGATTCTATAAGGATTTTTTCTTTGATTATAATTTACTTAATCGAATCTATGGATGTCTACAACTGCCCCTTTCTTGATACATACACAATACATTCCCTCATTCTCACAATTTCTAGAAAAGGATAAAAAGTGGGAGAGAACCTTTCATCAATCGGCGTTAGTAGCTGGTGGAAATAAACCATCAAAAAATTCAAAAAATCGTATCAGTTCGACTGCTTCTGTATTTCTTATTTTTAAACGTATTCCAATATACTGTTAATACAAAAACCATTTAGTATGTGCTTTTGAAAATTGTATTTTACTAAAAATTATTTTCAATGACAATCAGGCGTAACTCGAAACAAATGACGGTATACTAAAGGAATGTATCTAAGCATCGTCTTTTATAAATCGAAATGACGGATTGCGAGAACTACTCTAACTACTTATTAAATATTTTAAAGCCTTTGCCATGGCAGTTTTGATTGCTTCAAAACATTGGGCAGAAGCAACATTGTCAAGCCCGAAACCCTGCAGAACGATGTGGCTAGGAAACGAGCGGCATAGCCTAGAGGTTTAGACCATTGCTTAGCATTCGGGAGGACGCTGGTTCGATTCCGGATCTGTCTGCCTTGGTCCAAGTTTTTCTGTGGTTTCATTGGATCACTTAAGCAAATGCAAGGGCAATAATATTCCACAGGTAATCTTTCATTCTATTCTGTTTTCATTTCGTCCGTCTCAACTTTCTCACCCGAACCACCACCCACCCATTCCCACGATTCCTGAAAGCAGACTGAAGAGAGCCTTCCTCCCTAACTTCCGGCGTAGTCCGGAGGGACTGCCCGCCCACCAGCATTACTGGCTGGTGGGGATGAAACACCTAAAAGTTTTTTTTTTATGGCTAGGAGAGTTGGCGCACTTTTACCTTATGTGCAAGTTGTTGGTAACATTGTTTTGCATAGCGATTTTTGAAATACTGATAGTACCATCTAAACATTCATATTAAGGTTGGTTTAAAAGGTCACGGGCACCAGAGAGCATTCGTGTCACTTTTGCTGGTTAACGATCAACCAGAACGGATGTCATCTCTCATCCACCTCTCCAACCATCTTAAAACAACTTCAACCAATGGAAAGTTTTAAAATAGGAAGCAGTAGAGTCGCCTTCATGCTTCCTGGGTTATTTGATTTGTGTTTGCGAGATTTTTGTTCAGTTTAGCATAAACCTTGAATGCATAATGTTGTGCAAAAGTTTTCGTCAATGCGCGTCGAAACTCAAAGGCACTAACAGAATCAACGATCCAGGCTCTCTCAAAGCTTAGAGCAGGCTGATCATAAAATCTTTGTAAAGCTAAGAGTCTCTTCCACCTAACTCAACCTGTTCGTATGCGCGAAAGCAAATTGCATTTCACTTTGAACTGCGAAGACTGGGTTCAGTAGTTCAGTTCCACACCAGGACAAAATGTATCGGCCAGGAAGACAATGACGAGCTACCCGAGTATATTTATCTAGTAAAAGCTCTTAGATTCGGTGACATTTTCGGATGTTTACTCCTATTGTCGGAGTCAACATAAAGCTGCAGGTCCCGGACTTAATTATCATAAAAGGTAGATACATACAATATTCCCAAACCTATGCGAAGAAAGACCCTAATTAAAGAAAAAATTGTTTTAGCTTTTCAATTTTAAATTCCAATAAGAAAATCTGAAGTGTTTATTTTTGAAAGAGTGATATCGTGTGATATATATTTGATTCTGGTATAAGTAATGATCATTGACATCCTTTTGGTGTATTTAGGTTCGTAGGTGTAATTCTATTAAGAAACTTTTTCAAGTCAGTACAATCATAAAAATTAAAAGCCCGTCCACTTTCTATTTCTCACTATAATTTCCCTTTTAAGATCCTTCGTAATATGACAATGGATTCCTAAAGATTTCATTCTCGAACGGGTACAAATAAATACATAAAACCTTAATAAAAGACAAATATTACCTACCGTTCGTACGGTTGTCGGCTTCCATATGTGCACCATGGTATTATTTGTACAGTTCGTCCCATTCTCTTTATTCTGACTTGCAAATAGCGATTTTACAACTATAGAAATGATAGAAGTAATTCAGAGAACATTAATGTGGTCGAAATTCATCTGTGAAAATAGACGTATCTTCTTTCTTGTTTCCATTTGGAACTGTAGTAATTTGCTTCACTTTGAACACGCCGTCGTTAAGTTAGGAAATGCTTCAATAGTAAGAAGTGTAGCGGTCAAGTTAGGGTAGGTTAGGTACGCTAAAGACCAGGGTCCGCTTTATAACCGGCTGGTTGGAATTATTTTATTTTAATTAGCCTTAAACAAGCGTATTTGCTTTACTAAATTCTTGATAATGTTGAACTTAATACTTTGTTGTGACAAGAAAATGAAACTATCCGTTTGACAACGTTCACGAATTTGGATATTACAATCAGCAAGTTTTCCTGCCACAATAAAATAC